CTGTCTCAGCTGAGCAGCGCCGTGTCTTGGGAGGCTGCGGCGGCCTCCACATCCTTCACGAGCTGCTCTCCAGAGCCACGAGTTTTCACATAATGAAGCAGCAGGGAAAAATTGCCAAACAGCAGAAATACTCCAGAAAGATAAATTACACACGGTGTAAGCGTCCTGGGTTAGGATTTTAAGTCCTGCCCAATTAATCAGCGCAGCCCAGGCTCCCAGGGCAGACGCAGGGCCCCTCTCAGGACGAGCCCCTCGCTGGGGCGGCCCAGGCAGACCCCAATGCCCTGCAGCGCTGCAGGCACAGCCCGGCCCGCAGGGACATCCACAGCTCCCCTGCAAAACCTGCTAAACAAACATGCCACATAAAGACTCATTTGGGAAGAGCACATTGTCAGCACTTTGCCAGTAATAAATAATGACAGTCCAAACACTTTACTAAAAGCAATAAACTCAAGAAGTGTTTTGGAAAATGCTGAAAGTGATTGATTTAAAGGAAATATCTGAACACAACCACATGCATTTCAGGGTGAAAGCACAGATTACAAATCAGCAGTGGCAGCGATCATATTAAATAGCAGACAACACACAAGTTTTAGGGGAAAAAAGCTCAGTTTCCCTGCAGGGCTTATTTAACAACCCAGAGCACAGCTTCTCCAAATGGATACCTCCGGTTTGGACTTAACAGCCCTATGCTATGCCCCAAAGAAAACATGCCTCCAGAAATACTGCTATAGCAGGAAGAGGGCTCTCTATAAAGAATAATGACTCCAAGATTGAAGCCTCTTCACTCAGAGCACTCCACAAATTTTTCAATGCATTCTCAAAATCGGCCAAATCCATCAGGCTCCTTCTAATTACAGTTCATGGCTTTCCTTCTCAGCTGCTGCAAGGGACTCTTGTGCCTGGAAACCAGCCGTACTGTTTAAACATTTTTTCCTAATCATCATTTTCTACCACTAAAACATACTGGCCTGTGACCAATTTTTGCACGTCTTCATCCAGCTGAGCTGGACGCAAGCCACACGGTCAGTGCTGTTTCATAACAAACCCTTTATGGGAACCAGACTCTGGAGGAACACGTGCCAGCCCCCTCACCCACCCAAACCACCATGTTCAGATCTGCACAGCCTATGCACAGCATGGGCATTTCACCCTTACACTCTGTTCCTCACTATGGAGGATCCATGGAAACCCTCCCTCCAGGCTCCAGCTTACTGTTTGAGTCTCACAGCATTGTCAATCCATCGCTGCTGAGATGTGACCTCAGCCCTTATGACATCCTTGGCTTCCGGTAAGTATGTAATTTAAAAACTAGGAATATTGCACTGTTTCATGACACAAGTGATTTGAGCATTCAAGCCACGTAATATTTTCAAAATATAATAATGAATAACTACTTTTTTTATTTGATCTTATACGTATTTTCCAATGCAAATGATTTTACAATTAGTTGCTAGTCAGGAGGTGGTTTTAAGGGAGGGATTTAAGGCAGACCCCCACTGCTCTGTGGAGGCATTCTGGCCCTCACATCACCAGCAGTGGCTGCCCTGTGCAATGGCAGCTTTCTCAGGATTTGGCCTTTCTCTACAACAGAGCAGAACAGCACTGAAGCCCTGGAACCTTTTCCCTTACGGATGCTTCATAAAAATCTATTTTAAATTACTTAAATAAATTATTATAGCTACTTCTAAATAATAGGGTAGCTACTAAAAATAGGAAAGGCAGAAGGCTTCCCTTCCATTACCACACTGCAGTCAGGCTGGTGCATCCCAGCCCCAGCTTGGGTCTCCACACTGCCTTGTTGGTGCTGCTTTATGACCTGCCTCGACTGCACATCATCAGCCTGCAGCAGAAAGCCACAGACTGATCCCTTCCCAAGCTTACACCACCAATTTCAAACCCTGTTAATAAATCAATTTGAAAAATCAGACTTCTCTGCCTAGCAAAGAAATTCCTACATTCCTCAACATGAAACTCCACTGGGAGCAGAGAACAGGAACAAATTGTTTCCTTTTCCTCAGGAGGGGCCAGCTTAACTAGTGAAAGGGTAACTGAGAGCTCAGAAGGAGAATTCGATCTTATTCCAGGTGTTAGGGTAGAGCAATTGCTATCTGTGTACCAAAGCCAGTGAAGCAGCTTGGAGACCCGCACAACGGCATGGCCACCCTCACCAGGACTGCCAGGGCTGCTGTTGGAGGCCACCCAGCCAGATGCCTGTAGAAGAAAACACGAAGGAGAAGAAATGGCTGAAAAACACCACGTGAAGGCCAGCACAACCATCAAACAAAGCCTCCCCTTGTGCAGCCCTGACTGTGAGCCATAAGCCTGTGACATGCAGCAGCAGCACTGCTGATGTGCACCAAGCTGCGGAGCTCACACCTCTGGTACAGGACAACTCTGTGACGGCCACATCCACTGCCATCAGCACCTCACACCACAGAGCAGAGGGGCTAGTGCAGAAAAAATATATCCACAGGGAAAAGTCCTTCCATTTGAGGTTTAGCTGTACAGAGGGGTTTAGTTTATATCCAGCGTTAGCAATTGTTCTGAAGCCCCCTCTTGATTCAGAATTATTCTAAATGCAGGCACAACTGAAGAGAGCAGCTGAGATACCTGCCCAGCCCAACAGCAGACTCTGCACAGTGCTCCATGCAGCACTGCTCACCAATCCATCCTCACTACTGAGGCAGCCTCAGAACAGCCCACTGCTATTCCTGTCAGGATATATCCACATGGAATAAAACAGCAAACTGACTGCCAGTGTAATCTCCTCTCTCTGTGGTGACATGAAAATAAGAGATCACTTGTGACTACAATCTTTCACAAACACGGTGTTGAGTAACTCACCACACTGCTGACAGTGTTAGAAAAGCCTTCAAGTTGTCTGTGTTCCCTGTAATAATTAAATATTTGCAGGATGCACCTTTATATACATTTCTATTTCTTAAAAAATATATTGGATAATAAATAACCAAAGTAAAAAAACAGACATGAAAGATGCTTTGAATGATCAGGCTGGTGGTGTAAAAGTTACCTGTAAATCACACATGGGGTGTGAGAGTGGAGCTGGCTACAGACAGGTGGGTTTTACTACAAGGCATTAATGTAACATTCAATTATTCCACTGCATACTGGCTGGTTTAACTCAGCCAAATTAGAATACATTTTATATTGACTATTTTGACATTTGCTTTATTTGGCAAGTAAAACAAAACTGATCCAATTTCCTTGCAGCCATTGTAAACCATAAACTCCACAACAAGAGGTTATAAAATATATAAGCCTTGTAAACACTTCTTTTCAGACTGTCACTGATGCTTTGAGCTCTAATTTTGGCCCTGTTCCCAACAGCTCCGACACTGCTCTGCAGCCTTCCCTGGTCAGCTATAAAGTGACCATTCCACATTCAGTGATTAAGCACTGCCATTGACATTCTCTTGCTATGGTAATTTTTTTTCTTTATTGTGGAAATTTGCCCAGACAGAAGTTCTTGCAGAAGGAAAATGAAGATCTGTGCTCTAAAATCAAGACATCTTTCTCTCTGATCTCCCATGGCCTGGGCTGGCATCTAGCTTATGTCCAGCAGAGCTTCACAATAACATCTCAGGTCCTAGTGGGACAGGCTGGAATCCCCAGAAAACTGCTGGCTTTTCATCTCTTTTGCCTCATCTCTGAGAAGCATGACAGCACGTCTGCCTGCAGCACACCTGACAGTACGCGACAGCAAGCTCTGTGCCAGGGCATGGCAGCTTACCAAGCAAAACTCTCAGAGAAAGAAACACCCAAATGCTTTGGAGAGCTCAAAGAGCCACCACAGGACCGTGGATTCCAGTCTGGGTCATGGATGAATGTACACGCCTCAAACGTACACACCTGCCTTAAGGAGGTACCCGACAGCTTTCTGGGGAACACGTTGCAGCAGTTTAAAAGTGTACCTCTGAAATGCCTGTAAATCAAGATTCTAAAGGACACAAGCAATTTCCACCCATGTGATATAACGACCTTTGTACACAAACTGTGCCTTGGAACTCCCCTCTGCTGTCTCCTTCGAACTTCCAGCTCTCACTAGTTACTGTAATACTGTAAAGGTATCCGCAGTGTAGAAAATGCCTACAAAAATACATGTACACATAATAGGCAAAAGCACAAAGGGACCCAAGGAGAGTGTGCCGTCCGCTGGCAACAGCCTGGCCCAGTCTATGAGCCTCAGCAGCAGGAGCACAGCTCACACTGGGCGCTGTGCTTTTGGAGTGAATGTCAGGAGTGCAAAGTTCTCAGTTTCGTCACTGTCTGGGCTGCTTTGCTGCTTAACAACACCTCTTTGTCCTGAGAAATCCAGCAAGTAAGCTGTCAGTACAGCACTACTGGTATATGAAAGTCTACACACTAGCACATCTCTTGATACACACACAGAAATACTGCCCGTAACACAGGGAGAACAGCCTGGACAGACACACTGCCCAGCAGTGCTGCTCCCATCACTCACCACGAGATGAGCAGGCTGCTGTGCACACTCACGACAGCTGCATAACTGGAGCTCAGCAACTGGGTTCAAGAAAATAAAAAACCAAGAGCCAGTACTTCAAACCATGATCAGACTGATCCTGGAGATGAGCAAAACCTGGTTCCCTTCTGAAGTCTGTAGAGACACTTCTCCTTCCCTCTGGTTAAGGAGAACAATCAGCCTGGCAGCAGCTCTGGCTCACCCTTCCAACACGTACGTGTTGGAAGCCACAACATCCTGCATAGTTTAAAGCAAAGGAAAGGTACAGTTTGCTACTTGCCTTCCTTCGCAGGCATTTCCTTTCTTCTGGCTTCTTCACCCATTTTTCTTTACACAACAACAGGCAAATACTTCAACCAACAGCACACTGCCTTATCAGATTGTGACACAACCATTCCGTGCCGGTGCAGCACCCCGGTCTCGGTTTCCCAGGCAAGGTGAGTAACCACAAGACATGCAGCATCAAGCAGGAGGAGCTGGAACGCAGCAGACCTACCTGGGCAGGCTGGGAGCGGGCGCTGGGGCCGGCGCCGGGGCGGGAGGAGCCGCGGGCTGCGCGGAGTCGTGGTTGCGCGGCACTCTGCCCATGCGGTACCAGATGCCCATGCTGTTCAGCTCCCTGCGAAACCAACACGGGCCTGTGCCGATGCTGCACGCCGCACCAGCACCAGGCACTGGCGTGCCTCACCGACGCCTCGGTCAGTGAGAACAAGGGTCATTAAAAAAAAGGGAGGGGTGAGTTAACTCCTACATCAAACCCAGTAACACTTGTACTTACTTGGACTTTCCTAATGATAAGCTTCACCTCTTAGATGCTACTGCTTGGTAATTACAGGAGCACAAGGCCCTTGCTTTGGTATAACTGCATTCCTGACAACAGCTTTGGAGTGAGGGGTACTTACCCAATGAACGTGTACTGAGGAGGGGCTTGCTTGGACCTCCCCAGGATTCGGATATCGCAGATCGCCGCCTCTGTGGAATCTCGAGGGATGAATTTAATGCACAGCCTCTTCTTTCTGAAAGCTACTTCTTCTGCAAAAATAACCCGGGATAAGGGTGGGTTTTATGCAAGATTAGAGTATAAATGTTATTTATAGTCTCTCCAGGTATTAGGCAGGTAATTACGGCAGAACTGGTGCCAAAGAACAGACGTATGTCAACAAACCAGTCAGTGCAGTGCCATTCAGAGGGGAATGTTCTGTCGGATGTGCTCTTGGCACTGCAATAACCAGATCTCCTCCTGCCTGCTGCAGAGATCAGCTCCCACGTGTGCCTGGTGCTGCCCCGCAGCACAGAACAGCAGGTGACTGCCAGTTCCGCATGCCTCTCGCACTCCCTTGCTCTTTCCCAGGTAATGTTTGCCTCACCGGCCTGGACAGCCATATCTAAACATTCCTCCCACAAGCACTGCCTCTAGGAATGTACCTGGAAGCTTCTGATACAACCAGTCAGCTCATTCTGCTATGTGCTTCCAACCAGCCACTTCCACCCCACTGCAAGGAGGAGCAGGCAGAGCTTGCCATGCAGAGAGGTCGAGTGCAGGAGCTGTCTGTCCAAATCTCACACATCCCAAGTGTTAGTGACATCTCCTGATCAAGTCAGCAGGCACAGAAATGATACTCCCACATGTTTGCCCTGGTTCTTTGCAAGGACAAACCAGACTCACAAAGCACTAAGTGCCAGAACCTCCCACGAGGCAGCTGTGCTGCTCTGGCCTGTGTCTGAGGTGGATGAATGCACTGCACAGCCCTTTCTGCTACGTGTCACAGAGCAATTGCTTCCATGTTATCCATCACGGAAAACTCGAGCCCATCAGAGTTAGGGCTTATCTGTGTAATGAATTCACAGCTCTTCAGGCTGTTTACCAGCACGCAGACACAATCCACAGCCCAAGCTGGTGCTCTCTGTGACCACAGCTGGCACTGGCACACAGACACAGATCTGCAGTGCCTGGAAAACAATGCTCCATCTCACCCTAAGGAGTCTTGGGGTGAGCAAGGTGAGGTTCCTGTTTGGATGCAGGCACTTGGAAAGCAGGACAGAAGTCTACTGATATACTGAAAATGTAAAGAGCAGACGCTGAATGAAAATCTGGAAAAAAAACAGCAACTACAAACAAGTGCCTGCAAAATAAAAACCCTTCATCTTAATGTGAACAAATATCTCCCAACTTAAAATATGCTGTCACTTCAACAGATGGCAAGCAGCCCTGTCTCCATAGGCTCCTCCTGTTTCGTAATCCACACCTTGGGAAACAGCAATCCATTCCAGCCTCTGAAATGTGCTGCTGCACTAGCACAAATAAGCATACAGTGTGAGGTGTGCCAATAGAGCATCTGTGCATGCAGCTTGCAGTTACAGTGGTGCTTTTAGAGATGGTAAATACCTGCATCCCTGAAGTCTAGTCTTCCCCTGCTTTGAAAAAGTAGAGCTTCTGTTTGAAGTGCTTAAAACTCATTTTAGGAGTCTAGGATTTAAGGCTTCCTGAAAATCTGCTCAAGACCTAACAAAGAGTAGTGTATTAAATGTATTAACTGCAAGTCAGCTGCCATTTTGAGAGGAGCACAGAGACACCTGTAACCCTAAATCTAACTCTGAACAAAATCAGTGCCTCTTATTTGACTCTCTCTGCAGCTACAAAGCTGACTACTTGCTTCTGTCTGTGTTCTCTTTCACACACTTCCTTAGTACAGGCAGTGCCTCTGCTTTAAAGACTGTCACAGTCACAACACAATGCATTTCAAATTAATGACAAAGCCCCCTTCCTCCTTTCCAGCAGGACTTTCACAGAAGTTGAAGCAGCACACAGTAAGGTTCAGCACTCCCAGGGGTCAGCAGGATAAGCAACAATTCTACCTCACACCACACATGCCCAAGAATTTTCCAGGAGCAGGGGGTGACCTGGGCGAATAATCTTCAGAGTCTTTCACTTCCAGGCCACAGGTTCCAATCAGAACCAGACCACAGTGACTGCAAACCATCCTCATGCGCTGCAGCCCCAGATGAATGAGTCCCTGCAAAGCTGGTTTATGTAACCCCTTTCTGCTCACTGCTGGGCTGGATTCCATCAGTGAGGCGCACTGGGACCAGCCCTCCTGCGAGGAGCAGCTGTGCCCCAGGCACCAGCACCACTCCTGCCACGCTCTCACGCTCCACTCCCGTGGGGCTCGTCCCCTGCCAGCCCCAGCCCTCGGTGCCTGCTGCACAGCACAGGCCTGCCACCAGCCGTGGCTGCAGCTGCTGCCGCCACAGGTCCCAGGGGAGCTGAGCACGCTGTTTGGGAACTGCTCGCTTACGTGTGGCAGCGAAGCAATTCTACCTTGCAGAAATGAGGATGATATTCCCCCTGGACACTGCACTTGTGCCTTGTGTCAGCCAGCACAAACACACCCGACACCCCTCAGCACTTGCTGGCAGGACAGGAGCCCTTGTTCTCCCACAGCAGGAGATGTACAGTGGGAGGGCACAAACCCACACCCCCTTCCTTTCAGAGCATTTCTGACACCCCTTGACACAGCAGCTCTGCTCCTGCTCGGCACAGTCCACTCTTCACATTGAAAAAAGAAACTCTGCATTCCTGCCCCAGAGACATGTGACTCTAGCAGGTGAGTGAAGACAGACAGGCAGCCCCATTAAAGAGCCTGAGGAGGACAAGAAAACCAAAGGCTGTTTCATCGCAGCCCAGAGCTGCCCCTAAATGTGCACATGCCAGCCCAGAGAGCAGAGGTGCTGGGAGCACCCCTCTGCCTGGGACACACTCTCCTCTGCCTGACCACACGAGCACCGGCACAGTGGGACTGAGGAACAGATGCCAACTCACGTGTATCAATGGTCTCCTGGATGGGCATGAAGCCTACAGGTAAGGTGTCCTTGATATCAATGAGCTTCATGTCAACCAAGACGTTGCCTAAATGACTCTTTGGAGAGAGAAAAGAAACAGTTGATTATGACAATGTCACCAAATTAAACCCCAGATCTTCCCACCTGCTGAAGCATGAGATGCCTTGTCATTGTATCTGACCACAGCTTTAGAAATGGTAGGAACATACCAAGGCAACCCCTGCACGTGTCCTCTTGGCAGGAACCAAACAATGACTGACTAGGAAATACCAGACAACTTTCAGCATTCAAAATTGTAACACCTCATCCACTGCCACACTTCCAGATCTTTGGAAGCACAGCCAAATTCTTCCTTTTGCAGGCACAGCAGCTTGAAGTGCTACTTTCACCAAGCCATCCACTGAGCAGGTCGCCTCAGTTCTTACACACTCTACATTTACAAGAGCAACATGACATCTCCATGACAGTAACAGCGAAAAGCATTACAGGATGATGGCTTATGCACACAGGGCCAAAGTTATTACATGCATTAGCTAATTAGTACTGAATAGACAGGGTTCTAGCTCCAAATGCAGCGCGCTCCAGAAGCACAGGCCATTTGGAACAACACACCTCATTCAGAGTCCATATGAATTCTGAACTCATGCCTTGTCCTATTAATCAAGGCTGGAAGAGCTCAGAGCCCAATTCAGAGTGACAGCCTCCACAATGGTTTAGAGACCAGATTTTCTTTGTGGTTTTTGATAAAACCAGCACTGCTGCCAATAATCTGGGGTCACATATGAAAGAACACATTTCAGGTACTGCACAGCCTTTATAAACAGAAACATAATACAGCACAATTAAAATTTAATCCCAAGTTATCAAACTGTGTCATTGAGTTTTACTGTTACTGGTTGCAAAGTACCTCCTTTAGTTTTCATCTGGTAAGAATTTTTCAGACAAAACTGTACTGATTATTTCACTGAAATTCTTACAAAATACTTAAATTTGCAGGCTCTGAAATAAGGGGAGGTCAGGTGTGAGTTCATTTTTGGGAGGTCCTGCATTATACGGTCAGCTCCTGACCAGAAGGGTAGGCAGACCTGCAGCCCTGTCCCACCAGACACAAGTGTGGCACACATCCTCTGCCAGGAGCCCCCACCATGCCCAGGGCATCCTGGAGCAAGCAGTGCTGGATGCTGCCAAGCCTGAATGTGTCACTGAACATGGTCCTGGCACAGCAAACAGCAGACAAAGCAGTTGCTGCTGATTCATCTTTCATGTTTTATTTATTTAAGCTGTCTGTGTTACATCAGCGGCAACTTTCTGCTGAACCACCAAGCCCTCTTCAATCAGCAGCAGACAGGTAGAGAGGCGCCTCCAATGAGCCCCGGGAGTCAGCTCTGCCAGGTGCACAGCAGAACAGGGGACAAAGCCCCAGCTCTGAGAGCCACCATCCAGGGCCTGCCCACACTCTGATGCAGCCATGTCAGATGCTGTAAACTGCTGAGAAGGATGGTTCTGCTAAACAGGCGCTGCAGACTGACTCTGCTCTAACCCAGATACCTGACGTGCATTAACTCTACTGACTACAACATTGTTCTTCAGGACAAAAGAGTTCCCAGCGTTTTGATAAACACAAAAGGAACCCCTGAATGGTAAAACTTCCAACCCAAAGAGCAGCACATCAGAGGGAGAGAAGCCTCTCGCGTCCTTTCCTCCCAGATGAGGGAACTGAGGCCCCTTAGCCCCCAGGTGCCCCCAGCAGGGAAGCACAACATATATCCCATGTGGTAAGGAGGACTGAGGGAAGGGGAAACTTTTGCTTTAATTTATGCCTCATCAATACAAAGAAAGTACTCCCAAACCATGGTGACCCCAGGGTTCCTGCCAAAAGTCCAACAGGCACCACCTGAGGGTATTTACACCATCTCTGCAGCCAGCAGCTACTCCTGTCCTGTAATTATTTCTGACAACTTCAAATTTTAGGTAGCGACTGATAAACCTAATACTCAAATCAGCACAAGCCTATTTAATAGCCTTCCTGCCCACTCCAGGGCTGCTATTCCTGCAGCTGCACATACTTCAGGATGAAAAGCACAATTATTGTCCATCCACCCCAGGAAGTGATATTCCCCATAGCTCTGGAGCTTTAATCTAGATGCAGGCAGGGAAGCAGATGGAGTAAAGGTCAAATGGTGGGAACTGGCAACCCCAGCTCTACTGCCAGGACCCGTGAGCAGCCCCTGAAGCTGCCATCACTTTTCTGTTCCTGTCACAGTGAGAGCACAAGTACAAAATGGTACTTCCAGACCCCGCCAGCTGAGTGGCCGAGAATATCCAAAGCGCGACCAAAAGCAGGATTACCCACTAGATGGAGTGCATTCATTGCAGAAGTCAACAGTTCCTCCAGAAAAAAAGAAACTTTTCACAGTAGCCTCAACCAAAAACACAGCAGAATGCATGAAGCTCTTGCTGCACACGGTCTCCTCTCCTCCACAGAAAGTGTGGGCAGACAACTGCTGCTAATCACGAAGTAACTCGTACTTAATAGTCAGACCAGATTACAAGAATGTGGTAGCATATGCACAACGTGGGCACATTTTCAAGAATCAGCACCAAAACCAACAAAGCAAGCAAGCTAAGCCTGCAATAAAATATCTGTGATGCCCCTGGATTCAGAAACCAACATTTTCTTCACCACCACTACCTACATTGTCTGTTTCTTGAGGAATTTGGGTTACACATCAATCAGGAACATGAGTGTGCAGCACTGATTGCTGCAGCAGGTAATGAGGGTGAGAGGCTGCTAAAACGCAAACATTCCCTTTTGTGCTTCTTTTATTGCAGAAGATTTTGTCAGCAATTTCTTTCCACGAGAAACACACACAAAATGCAAATATTCTGCCATTGTACTTTGCCTCCTTACTCACCCGAACTCAGCAGAACGCCTGCTTGAATTATAATTGGCTCCATAAAATGAATCATCATGTGGGTAAGCACATATCAGGCACAGATGCAAATCACACAGACACTCAACAAATGGACTTACATTCTCTTTCGAAAATGATCTGGTGAAGCACAGGTACCGTGTGACCTTGGATTTAAACAAGCCATCTTTCCACAGGTCAGCATCCAAGCCATCTGCTGTTTGTGCAACCTGCAAAGAAGAGACAGAGGGAGAGAGGAGACATGTGAGCCAAGATGAAGTTAATACATGTGCAGTGCTTCTTCCTCAGACCTCTCCTAATTAACAGCAGCCCAAACTTTCACAGCATCTCATTAGTTTCTTCGCAAGGTGCAGTGCAAAGAACTTTCAAGAGGAGGTATAAAAAGAAGTTCTAAAAATGCTGTCTCTCAGGAGACCCTTGATTAAAGATGCTCTGACAAAGGCTACTCTAATGAGGAAACTGCAACTTCAGTTACAGTCTCCAAACAATAGTTTGGAAAAGTCAGCACATTGAGGCATTCATTACCACTCTACACACAAGGGCACACCGGGCGAGCTGCGAGGGTCCGTGGAGACAGAGCACAGAAACTGGCCCACCCCAGGACTATTTTCATGGAAAGCCAAGGAATTCTGGCTCCCAGGTCAAAAGCTGCTTCCAAGCAGGTTGGGGAATCCCTGGTCGCCGGTGGGTTTTAGCAGCAGGACTGCATGTGAGGACACAGCCCGCAAATGTCCCCCTCCGATGCAACCCCACACCCAGCCAAACTGATATCACACACGATGGTGCTGGGTAAGGAAACAGACCCTGGACCCTCCACAGGAGAGACAGCACGATGTGCAGGAGAAAATCTCACTGCTAGCTGAATCAAGGAGTGGGCAGGAGGCAGCACCATGCACTGGGGAAGGGCTCTACTCTCAGCAGCTGGGCACTCACTACACACAGAGCAAGCTGGTAAGAGCCCTGGCCCCAAAATGCTTGTTGTAAGAGAGGAGGCAAGAAGGCAAACACAAGCAGAAGGGTCGAAGAAACAAGATTACCCCATCAGACTAACACCCAACTGGCATCCCCAACAGGAGACTCCAGCATGTTCTGAAGCTCCACAGAAGCTGAACTTCTGCCTGATGCCTCTCAGAGGGGGCAAACTGCTCCACAGCAGCTCTTGTAATCACTCCGAGCCAGCCCTTGGCCCCAGAGTGGCCTGGAGACAAAGAGCTGACACTTGTCACCTTTGCACCCCTGTTCAGCTGAGCAGGGACTGCGCCGGGCATGGGAGCCAGAGCTGAGTGCTGACACGGCCTCCAGTTACCCCGAGGGCACAGATAGGCAAGAGACAGTCTGATCAAAGCAGCAAAGTGCACTCACTGCTCCCTGAAGTTTGGCAATGCTGCTCACAAGGGGCCCAGCTCAGGCCAAGCCATTGTACAGCACACACAGCTTTTGCGTTCAGGCTCTGCAAAGAAACACGCCTGATTTTAAAACAGCTACATTTTAAAATAGGATTTCAGCAAAATTTTTTGCTTATTTGAAATCTTTGAATTCAAATCTTTCCTAAACTGATAGTTTAGGAAAATGTAAAATCTACAGGCATCTTCCTCTGTGATGGGTAAGTCAGTCCTAGTGAAGAATATTCAGGAAACAGTCTGTTTGGGAAAACTGCTGGCATACAGGGATGGTTAGCTTGAACTCCAAGCCAGGAGAATGTAAGCATGAATGAACTTGTCAGAAAACTCACGGGGAAAGAAAACAGAGCCATATAAACAGGAAACTTCTTGCATCACCTGCTGGGCTCCTGCAAGCAAGGAGAAGCCCCAGCAAATCTCAAAGCAGAGCTGTGCCTGGTCAGCATGCCCTCAGGACAGCAGCCAAGTGGGAAAGGCCCCAGCACTCCACAGCCCAGCCTGCCCAGTCCTTCTTGGCTGAGAGGCGAGGAATGTGCGAGACAGAGGATCTGTCCCACCTGGCACTGGGCACGAGGAACGGTCCTTCTCCTCACGAGGCTGGGGGAGACACTCCTCACTGTGTGCTGCAAACAGATGGACTTGACAGAGCGACACCCGGTAAGGTGTGAGCCCCAGCACGTGCAGGGTGATCTACCTGCTGCACACTCTCAGGATGCGGTCACTGCACCTCAGTCAGGTCTTTGGCAAGCGGGTCCTTTAAACCTGATCTGCCCCTCTGGCAAAGTCAGGGCTGCTCCTGTGGGTCTGCAGCTTGCTCAGGCACTGCCCCAGAGCACACCCCACCACGGGGCTGGTGTTCAGCCTGCAGCAAAGAACACAGCTGCACAGCAACCACACCTCCCTCCTGTCCCAGGCTCCTGCCTCCCACCCCTCCTCCCCACCCAGACACGCAGTCTTGCCAGTTTGGTTGGATTTTCAGGAATCTAAGTTCAGACGCTCTGCATATTTTCACAAAACCAAGTCTTTGGTGCTTTAGCTGTGAAAAGGCCTGGCCAGTTATTCCAAGTGCCAGTAGTGCATTTGTTTTCTAAGCAGACACAAAGGCAATAGAGATTATGGAGTAACTAAAGCACTACAGAGGAAAAAAGGCCTCTGTCCCATTTGCCAGGACATCCCCCCAGGCACTGCTGCCTGCCATCTCCAGCTGGGCAGGAGGCTGAGCTCTGGGGCTCTATGTGAACCTGGGAAATGGACCTGGACATCTATAGACATTTAATTTACACCTGGGATGAAGAACCCATGCTCCTGGAGACTTCTTTAAAAGAGAACAAAAGGGAAAATGAAGTTGTAAGCTTGAGAAGGATAAAAATGAACGGGAAACTGGTAATGCCTATAAATAACAAAGGTGAATCAAAAAGAGCTGGTTACTTCATTGCAAAACCTGAAATCATCAGTGAAACTACATGAGAAAATACTTCCCCATGCAACCTGAATCCACCTGGAGAACTGAATGCTGCAAGATGCAGCAGTGACACACAAAGCCACTGGATCCCTAAGGGGACTACAATATCCCAAGAAACACTGCTGTAAATGCTTCCCAAAAGATGAGTGTGGCTCTCCTTTCCAGGATGCAGTGTGCACCTCTTACCATGAGGGCTCTAGGGAGCACACCTCTGGGACACAGCTGCCACAGCTGCCTTCCTCAAGGCTTCACAGCAATCAGCCGCCAGTGCCTCGCCAGTGCCTCGTTAAGGAAATTGCATACCTGCAGAAACACAGATCCCAAGACCACCCAGCTCTGCACACTGCCCATGTCTCAGAACACCATTCCTCTGCTGTGCTGAGCACTGCGCTTGTGTACATTCAGCTTCACACTTCTGGGGAGCCAGACCAGGCTCCAGAAAGGTCATGGAGAAGTGGCAAAGCGGCACACCACACAATGCTCCAGCGCACCGACTCCTTCACAAACACCCAGGCAAGAGCAGCACACTCGTGCGTGCCACTGTCCCTTCACATCAGCGTGGCACCCAGCATGGCCCCTTGACAGCAGGTGCTGCACAGGGGACAGGGCACCAAGGGTGGCTGCAGCACCCAGGCACACTGCTGGGGCGGCAAACTGGCGTGCAAAGTGGCGTGGCAGCCGCGCTGGGGGAAGCACAGCACACAGCAGGCTCTGCCCCACGCCCGCTCCAAGGGCGCTCCTTGTGAGCAGACAGGGAGGCAGCAGAGCCAGAGCAAAGGCAGCTCCTCACTGTGCCCTGAGGAGACAGCGACCCACATTCGCCAGCATTACATCACCACCATAATTGGATTACGCCACAGGAAGACTCTTTTATCTTGTTTAGTTTAAACTGCGTTAGCGCTGCAACTCCCCATTAAGCCACAGGCAGGCTATCTGGGGTGAGCGTGCTCTCTGCCCAGCCATTTAGGCAAAATGCAATTCTGTTATCACAAGTCTCACACTGTCCCGTGCTTCTTTATCAGGGCAAGCAGCTAATTACACAGCCTGGCTCACACAGGTAATGAGCACTTGGAAAAACACAGTAAATGTAAAAACCTCCCAGGTCTTTAAGGAGCTTTTTCACAATGCTCCCCTTGTGTCCTTACTTCAGCCTGATCCATTTTGTTTCTTCAGACTGAACGAGGTATGAAATCATCCAGAGCTGAAGAGGTGTGAGCAAAGCTCAGGTCAGCTGGCTTCCACTCCTACCATACAAGCTGTGAGGCTCTGGAAACCCAAGGTGTCATATAACATAGTTGGAGCACAACACATAGAAAGGCGAGCAGATGAACTACAGACCAAATCTTTCTCTATAGATCTCTGCAAAGTCAGTATTTTATATTCCACAGTTAGGGACACTGATCTAGGAGTAGAAACATCCTGCTGTTGGTTACACAGCAACTAATCCGAGGAACAAGCAGCTGTTGAACAGCAACCTCCCTTTATCTGTTCGCACATTCATCTACCCTGTACCCAGCTGCCTTTTCCTGCTGCCAGTCTCCTGCCAAACCTTAGTTTAGCAGTTTGTACTTTGCCTGTCAAAATCATCCTTGCCATTTCAGCTGGATGCAAAACTCTTTGATTCCCTTTCTGGAGTTTCTCATCATCATTGTGCAATGCTGATATGTGGGATTAAACAGCTGACGTGGGATCCATTTATTTAGAGATAGAATTTGTACAATACTTAGGACTCCTTCAGGATGAACGCTAGTAGGATTATCAAATTTGCTTGCCATTGTGGCCAGCTGTTTCAGTAAACCCCTCCTCCAGGAAATTCAGCTCCTCTGGAGTGGCAAAGATGAAGAGGCAAATTTACACCCACAGCCTTCTGCTGAAGGAAAGCACTAAGTGCTGTGGGCTGAAAGGTGGGCAGCTGACTACCAAGTGACTCCTCACAGCCCAGTTCAAAGGCACGTTCTCTCTGTGCTCTCACCGCAGTAAAGGCTCAGCAGTGCAGCACCAAAGCATTGAGAGCAGCAGCTCAAGCTCTACTTACAACGTCATATCCAGTGGGTGCTCGGCTGCGGGACGCCAGCACGCCCACGCCGGTGATGGGATCCATGGGCAGCTCGGGCAAGGCGTCCGAGAGGTCTCGCACCTCAGGCATCATGGACTGCTCCTGCAAGAAAGCAGCAGCATTAAAGGGCTGCCTGCTGGGCACCACACCCCAGCAGGAGCCAGAGAACCAAGAGCACACATGCATGCCACAGTGCCTGTGCTGACACACCACAGACGGCCAAGGTAAACACAGGATTAGGCCAGACACACCTTCTGCACTTTCATTTGCTTTTGATAAGAGAGTATACTTGTGGGCATTACTCTGCAATGCCAAATAGGTTTGAAATTTGGGCTGGCAGCCTCTGAGACTCATTTTGTTGCTTCCATGGGCTGGTCTCCATCTAGCAATGACAGGAAAACCAAAGCTCAATCCCTTCTCTTCCAAAAAGAGAACAAATTTCATCCCCAAGCCAGGCTGGTTGAAGCAGCTCTGTCATTTTAAACAGCAAGAAATCTGCTCCTAATGGCTTTAGAGGGAGGTTCCCCATCCACCATGGGTGTTACCACATGCTGGGGGTTCCCCTCAAGTCCTCAGTCCCATCACACGCCCGTCAGCCAGACTGATTTCAAGGAGCAGCACAGATGTCTCTGGCGCTGGATGCAGAACTGCACTGGCTGCAGGGAGCCCCAACACCAGGAACACAGAGGAAGCACAGGGTGGGCTGGCACAAAGCAGACAGGCCTTGAGGAGGCCCGAGCATCTTCCAGAAGAGACACATCACCGAGAACGTCAAGGGAGGGAGATATGCAAAAAGGACAGAAGCGGGTAAGACCAACTAATTTTGGAGGGATGCTGCTGCAGGAAGCAGGAGGAGAGGACAAGAAAGGGGCTGAAACAACTGAGGTGGAGGACGGGAAAGGTGCCACTGCCTCAGCGCGTGGCCTCCTGCGGAGGCAGCCAGTTAAAGCAAGTCTTCTCTGGCTTTCAGGCAGGAATGCCCCAGGAAAGCGCCCCCCACGCACCCCAAGACAAAGGGCAGTGCTTTGTGGAAACAAGCATCACTGCTGCACAGCCAGACAAGCCGTGAACCAGAGCTGCCTAATTCAATTCCCTCCTCAGAGCAATCAAACCCCAGCATTTCTAGGCCATTCAGATGGCTGGTTACTTACTGCTTCTAGAAAAGGCAGAGGTGAGTACTGGTGCCAGTGGAATTGGGTTTACACTTCACAATGCCCAGTCTGAACAAACATCGTGCTGCAGGCAATAAAAAAGAGCAAGTCTGGGCCCTAAGTAAATAATAATAATGTCACATGAACAGCCAGACTACTTGAGGAGTCCAAAACAGGTGCTAGTGACCAGTAGGGGTGCAAACACTATTGCTGATGAACCAAACAGGAGAGAGCTCTGCTTTAGCACCAGTGTGCTGGACACGCATCCAGCACACAGAGCAAAGCAAACCCTCCTCACTCCCAAAGCAGCTCAAACCTTCGAGCGTGATGCAGCCTGAGCCCCAGGGGCTCCCCCTCCTCTCCCAGCAGGCTCCCTGTCCTCAGGGTGGGCGAGGAGCACAGGACCCTGCTGCAGGAATGCTGGGGGCACTGGCACAGCCATGACAGACCCTGTGCCAATGCGTGTGCCGCCCCACAGCTCGTCCAGAGACCTCACAAATAACACAGAACCTCAAACATACAGCGTGGAAGAAACATAATGTGAATTTAACAAAGAGCTTACATGTATGTTACATGTAATATAAAGAGCTTACAATCTGTTCTTCATGAATGTCTTCTGAAACTTCAAGTCACTCAATAGTCTGGTGACTTCTTACTACACATTGGGAGGAGCTGGGAGGTAATGAATGCTGACGTAAGCTTCTCTTGGGCCATTTTGCGCTGCAATCCAGGTACGTGATGATATTCCCCAGCGCGTTAAGAACACCACGCGGCAGGCTCCCACCCGGCTGCAGCGGCACTGCAGGGAAGCAGCTCTGCTCACGCGGTGCCCGCAGTACCCCCAAACGCAGCCTGACGAGTGCGTGCTGCTGAGCGCTGCCCAGCCGTGTCTGCCCGCGCTGGGGCCTGCGGAGGGAGGCCCAGCTGCCCCCGCAGGGACCCGAGCAGCTGCCAGCTCAGCCGGGCAAGGCTGAGCGCGACGGGGTCCCGGCACCAGCACCGGAGGAGGGGTAGGGGTAGGGGTGGGCGCTCCGACCCGCAGCGCGGTGCCTGCCTCAGCCCGCTGTCCGGCACCCCGTCCCCAGCGAGGCAAGAAGGGACCTTTGTGGGAGCCATTTGCAGCCCTGCTCCAGGGCAGGGGGAGGGGAGCCGCCATCAATCCTCACTTTGTGCCGGCTCACACAAAGCCCCTCTATGGCGGCAGCAGAGCTGGGCGTGGGGCTGCCTGCCTGGCCACGGGGGACACCACGGGCTAACGCGGCACAGCACCAGCACAGGGCCCCGAGCAGCACCTGCTGCAGCAAGGGCACCGAGCTGCCCCTGCCCAGAGAGCCCAGCACCTTCCTGAGCCCCGTGCCTGCAGCCGACAGGGATGGCAGGCACAGCTCCTGCCCAGCAAGCAAACCGCTGCGGCCACTGCAGCACGGCCAGGCTCTGCCACACCAGGCCGTCACTGGGCAGAATGACTGAGGATGCGTCTGGAACAGATATGGAGCAGCACAAGTCAGTTGCACACTGGGATAAATGTTTTTGTGAACTCTGCACAGGTCGGAGGGGAGTCTCTGGCTGGGCAATCACACAGATCATTAGTTACACTGCACTTCTCCGTGAGAGCATCAAGAAGGTTTGGTTTCTCTTCTATCGAACCATCTAATTTAAAAATGGAAAAATAAACAGTCAAAGAGGAGATTAAATTAAGGAGCAGGATTCTATAAATACCTCTGTTAGGCAGCTTGTTACTTCAATTCTCTTTAGCGATGTGAGTTTGACCTGCGTGCCCAGCCACCACCACAGCGGCCGAGCGCTCAGCCCAGGATATGGCTCTCAGCATCCTGCAGTAAGCTGCCTGTGCCCACCCGCTCCCTGCAGGGCTATTCCGGGACCAGGCCAAAACAACGACAAGAACATTTTTCCCGTTAGCTGGGAGCATGCTCCCTGGAAGTTTTCTCAGCTGTGGGGCCACATCCTGTCCCCAGCACAGCCCAGCAGCCAAAGGAAGCCGGATGTGAGCTCTGGGGCAGGAAAAAGCTTCAGAACACTGTGGGGCTGCCCAGACAAAGCAGCGGGGAAAGAAAGTGTCTCTAAGGAGAAAGTCCCTGTGCATCCTGGCAGCACCAGCCCCAAGCAGCACGCAGCAGAGAAGGTGGGACGGCTGCAGGACAAGATGGACAGGATGCACTCTTGGACAAGCAGCCACCATGCTGCTGGCTCTACCCCAATGCTTCCCGGCCCTCGAACCAGATGTGCCTCAAGGCAGCAGGCACAGTGCCCCTGGGATCTTGATGCCCAGCTGTAGCAGAGGCCTTCTGGGACTCCACCGGCTTCTGGCACAGCCTTCTTCCCACAACCCATGCCCACAGTCACACACACCTCCCTGTCTGCCAGCATGGCCAAGTTTGGCTGTTTATAGCCTTTTTGCTTGTTCTCTCCCATTTCCTTGTTATGTCATCCGCCTTTATTAGTTTATCCTAGGCATACTTTTCTGCTGGCTCCACTGACGTGACTGACCACACAGACTGCTGGGCTCTGGCTGGGGCACATATACAGCAGAAGAACCCGCTTTCAGAAATGAATGTGTTATTGTGAGTTTCTAGACCATTTTCTGCGCTCAGTGTTCCTTTTCAACAAGTTCAGCAAGTTCAAGAGCTGGTGGGTCCATGACCAGATCAGGCCTTTCGATGTGTTTGCTACAGAAACATCGTGCTGCCAACAAAGCGGGTCAAGCTCTGGAGTTAAATAGCCAGGGACTTAGATGGAGAATGGTGTTATTGTTTCTTCCTCCAACTACAAGCCCTGCACTTTGACACCGGCTTGCTCTTCCCACAGGCAGAAAAGTATGAGCTAAGACAAAACTGGAAAAAAACCCAGCTACCTCACTGCATCCCTGCAGTCTGTGGGAAATGGTCCCACAAACCAAACAGCCTTCTCTCAAAGGCTGTCCTCCATCCCTGCAGGAAGGCACGGCTGCCACAGCTCACCCACACCGCACGGCCCCAGCCAGCCTTCTATTTCTGCTCATGGAACACGGCGTCATCTCCATCGGAAAAACAGGAACACGGCATCGTATCCATCGGAAAAACAGGAACCCGCAGTGGCCATCAGCAGCGGGCCTTGGAGGCCACCATCACAAACAGGCAGGATTTCAGTTTCACATTTCACCACCATCGAAGGCATGCCTGGAATCACCTCTGCACACAGGCTCCCTTAGGAGACAGTTGCCCTGCACCAGCTGCAAAATCTACACTTTGTGACTGAATGGGATGGAAACAGGAACTTAAGTGACAGAATGAGCAAAATCGAGACCCTGTATTGCTTCACAGCACTCTAACTATGGACACACATTTCTCAAGTGTCCTGTTTCGAATCAAAATAGGTTTCCATACGCGGATGACCTTGCACCAGGGCAGCAAAACTGAAATGACATTCGGTTCAGTTAGTTCTCTCTTGGAACAGGTATGAACATGTCTCTGGGGGCTACTGGCACCCTTAAGCCTGGGCTTTGCTTTGTCAGAGATGCACGTGGTACAAAAGTGAGATGTCTGTTTCATCTCACACATGCCGAAGTCAAGTTATGCCTCCGTCTAGAAGGGAAGTCCATCTCAGCTAAAAATTATAGGGATGACACTGCCAACCTGCTGCACAACACACAGCCTCCCTTAAAGAATAGATAAGCACGTTCTCACTCAGTTAAAATAAAATACAAAATGGAGAAACCCAAGCTTTAGCCTGAGCAGCTACACACCTGCATATACCCGGCCTGTCTGGTTTCAGTGTTACTGTGACCAAGCTGAGAATGACCCAGCTCTGGGAATCTGCAGACAACACTGAAGAGTGGTGGACCTTTGAAAATAGCTCCAGAAACCTCAGAGAAAGCTTGCAAGCCTCCGTGATGCAAGGCACGAGTACTTAAGGCACAGGCAGCTCTGTGTCGCTGCTCCAGGCAGGCTGTAAGCAGTCAGCCAGCGCCACATCTCCAGCCATGCACTGAGCACAGGTAAGATACGGGCAGTCAGGTAGGCCCGTGCTACAAACGCAGCAAAAGACCACATAAAACAGAGGGGGGTTTGTTATTTCCTCTACCCGTCATCAAGAAGAATTTACAGTAAATTCCGGAGCAGGTCAAGGTCACCGGGGCTGTACCCCACGGCTGGTACCCGAGGCCGCTCCTGCAGCTAGCCCAGCCTCGGAGGAGCCGCCGGGTTTCACGGAGGCCCCGGGGCGCTCCAGCCCCGGCCCAGGCGCGAGGTCCCCGCGACAGCCGGCCCCGACAGCCGGCCCCGAGAGCCCCCGGCAGGCCCCGGCCCGGGGCTCAGCCCGCCCGCCCCGCCCGGCGCCGCGGCCGTGCGAGCGCCCCCGCCTCCTCCCGCCGGGCCGGGCTGGCTCCGCCGGGCCGACCCGCAGGGACCGCGGGGCCCGGCCCGGCCGCGGCGGCCGCGGGGACACTTAACTGTTGCCCGTGCGGCGGGCGGCGGGTCGCGGCTCCCCCGGCGCAGGCAGAAGCAGCTCCTCATCGCCCGGCGGAGCCGGCGCGGCGCGGCCCGGCGGGAGGAGCGGCGGCGGGGGAGCGGCCTGCGGGCCCGGGCGGAGCGGCGCGGGGCGGGGAGCGGAGCGGAGCGGACGCCGGGCAGGCCCAGGCCCGGGCTCGGGCTCCGCCGCCGCCGCTCCGCGCCCACCGCGGCCGGACCGCGGCGCGCAGGGCCCGGATCCCGCCCCGCCCGGCCCGGCCCCCGCGCCGCCCCGCGCCCCCCGCCCGAGCCCCGCGGCCCGGCCCGGCCCGTCCCTCGGGACACTCACCGCGGCTGCCGCGCTGCTGCCGCCGCCGCTCCGCCCGGCCCGGCCCCGCCCGGGCACCGGGCTCGGCCCCGGCACGGCCCCGCGGGGCCCGGGGCCACACCTCGCCAGAACGCCGCTTCCTCGGGAGCAGGGCAGTGCCTGGCGTGCTCCGAGCAGCCTCCCTGACCCGACCCCTTCCTCGGGAACGGGGCAGTGCCCGGCGTGCTCCGAGCAGCCTCCCTGACCCGACCCCTTCCTCGGGAGCAGGGCAGTGCCCGGCGTGCTCCGAACAGCCTCCGCGGGCCGACCCCTTCCTCGGGAACGGGGCACTGCCCGGCGTGCTCCGAGCAGCCTTCCCGACCCGAGCAGACCGGAGGTGCTAGGTGGAAATGGCTGAATAGTTGTGATTTGGACAGTGTAACCTCCTTGTTCCTTCTGAAACGGGCTGCATCCAGGAGATGGGCAGCAGCAGGAAGGGAAAATGGTGTCAAAGAAGCTGGTTATCTTCTCAAGAAGGCCCCGGAGTTGGGAGGAATGAGCGGTTTCAGCACCTACCTTCAATTCATTAAGATATTTGATGCTGTCTCACCGTGGCCTGGAAAGCAAAGATACGGTCCAAAGTAGTCAGGGTTTGCCCGGCCGGCTGGGTGTCCAGCCTGCGGGTCCGCGCACAGCACAGCAAACATCCCGAACAGAGGCTCTGCAAAGGCCTGCTTCTGCTCAACTTAACACGTGCCAGGGCTGAAACTGACAGCACGCTCATTGAGCTGGCAGATGATGTGAATTGCAGCATGTCGCGGCACAGCAGCATGGTCCATAGCCACCGCTACGTGAACCAGTCCTGCAGCTGTCCTGCAGTGCCTTTTGAGCGCCTTACCTGAGGCAAGGTCAGCAACAATCGTCTGCAGAGCAGCACGATGGGTGTGGGGGCTGACATCAGCGGCCTCCGGCGCAAGACAGAGAGTAGGAGCTGATAATCTAAGGCAAAAGAAAAAATCCTGAGTGAAGAACAAAATAAGGGAGGAAAGGAAACACGTTAATGTGTATGTGAATTTAAAAGAA